GGCGCACCTTGGGCCTCCTTTTCTGACTTTTTGCACCCCCATGTTTCCTATTTGCACCCCCCCTTTGCATTTTTTTTATATTTTTTTATATTTTCTTGCATAATTTATATTTTCTGACTTTATTATTTTCTTTGAACATTAAAAAGTCACAAAAAATATTTTCTTAATTTTTTGCATTTTATTTTATTTCTATCTTATTTTTTGCATATAAAAATAGTTTTATTTTAATAAATAGAAATCATTTTCTTAAAATAACTTGTAAATAATATAAAAATATCATACATTTTTATTTTATTACTTTTCACACTTAAAATATTATTTTCATACATATTTCAATTTTTTAACATTTTTGTACATATTATCATTATTTTTCTTGAATAATATAGAATATACTTCTTTTAAACAAAATTAGGGTTTCTTCACCCTTTCAAAAATAATCACAATATTTTTCTTATTTTTAGACTTAAATAAACTTATTTTTACATACATGAAATTAATACCAAAAAACATTTTTGCATACATACATTTTATTGCATATTTAAATAATTGTTTATTTATTTATTTGTATAATAAATTCAATTTGGTTGTAATAGTTTTAGGGTTTTATTTTGAGCAATATCCCCTATTCAAAACTTGTATCCCCCTCCCCATAATATTTTTGTAATAGTCTAGATTTACTTTACGTATTTTATTGCTTTCATATACCATGATAGTAAACTAGGGTTTTGCATGCAACGACCAAAAATTAAACAAATAGCTTGACCTAATATAAGACAAAAATGCATGAAAATGACAACACATTGCACACAAGCACCCCTAGGGTTTCATCCACTTTGTTTCCTAATAAAATGGTCATGGTATGCATGCTAGGTATCTTGGCAAAACAATACAAAACAAAAGATCATAGTCCCTCGATGACGCTAGACAAGTTGCCTAAAACAAATGATCTTAAGTCCCTCAAAACTTGCTAAAGATACTTGGCAATATTGTTATCATGGTCATACGATGACCCACGCCCGTCCCGTTTAACATCCAAAGATAGGGTTGTTTACCAATGCAATGGTAAAACAACAATGTCAAAGGAATAAAAATGTACAAGAAAGACTTTTGAGTAGGTAGATGCTTCTAGTTACTTGATCATTTCAAAAACAATCCTTGTTATTTTCAAACAAACACACACATTTCAAAACAATTTCCAAACAACTTTTAAAACATTGAAACATTTTTCAAAAGACAAACATCCTTGTATACATTCTTGCAAACAAGAATCATTACAAAGATTGCCAAAATGATGGCCTCTTATCAAAATACTTTCAAAACCACACAAAGCACCATTTCAAACAATTGGAAAAGCAAAGCAAGTGATCTAAACAAGTAACTAAGAGCCCATGGAAAACCATGGATGAAAAGGGTGCTAGCACCTTCCCTTTTCATAATCTACCCCCCGAACTCAAGAAAACATCTCAAAGGTCTTTCCTGTGCTTTTTACCTTTCCTTTTGGATAAAATAAAAGTCGACGGCGACTCTTGCTAAACCGAAACATTTACGAACACAAACGCAAAACCTCAAGTCAGTTCTCCCACCGTATCACCAGAACTGGCGACTCTGCTGGGGACGATTATAAAAGTGGGGTTACCTTAGGGTTTTAGATCACCTTTACATGCTTATCTTGCTTAACTTGTTTGCTTTACACTTTGGTTCTATTATTTGGGTTTGAATCCTCTACCCGGATTTGGGAAACATTCATAGGTAAATAGCAATACGTTGTGGAAACTGTTCGGGGTATACCGACATGGTATAAGCAATAGCTATGTTAGTGTGACATATTTGTGGGTACCGGTAGCCTTTGAGTCAATCAAAGAGAATACGTGGCCGCTGAGTGATGTCATGAAGCACTAATAGACTTTTAGAACCTTTACTTGACCAACTTGGCCTTTTAGGATGTAGTGAGATGACCAGCTTTGGTGCAGTCCGAAGTTGGTAGATACTCGATACTACACTCATTGAGGTTTGGTTCCTTGGAATATTTCGATCGCCAGTAAAGAGGCTGAATTGAAACAATGAACAAGGAAACAATCCAGTGATATTGAGCTCCTTAGAACCCGGTTACTATTTCTAGGACAGGTTGAGCCAACTAAACTTCAAGAGGGTACTTACCTATGAAACCCCATGCAAGCCTAAACTAGGAACTTGTGTGATTTGTTTGTACATATATACTTATGCATAACATCATGGACATCATGAAGCATCATATGCATCCACTAACCATTTCAAGGATTTTGGATTTTCATCTTTGTTCCTGTTTTGTAGGTTATGGATTCACTTCGCAGGAAAACTATCTAAGTCAACCTTGTAAGAATTCCTCCACAACTAAAGGAGATAGCTTCAAGGATTTCTGAGAACTCTCCATTCACCGAGAGGCATGGTCTTCTACTCAACTTGGTCACCACCAACACTGAGGAGAATATGCTGAAAGTTCTCTTCCAGTTCTTTAACCCTTTGCATCATTGCTTCACATTTCCTGACTACCAACTTGTGCCTACTTTGGAGGAATTTTCTCAACTCTTGAGGATTCCTATTCTCAATCAACTACCCTTCAACGGTACGGAAAGAGATCCAAAGCCATAAGAGATTGCTCAAGCCTTACACTTGCACTCCTCTGATGTCACAACACATTGGGAAACTAGAAGTGGTGTCAAAGGCTTCTTGTCAAAGTTTCTATTTGAGAAGGCCCAAAGCTGCTGGAATTCTTTGGACTTACAAGCTTTTGAGGAGATGGTAGCTCTTCTCATCTATGGGATGGTCTTGTTCCCTAATCCTGACCAACTCATAGATGTGAGTGATGCCAAAATCTTCATGGCTCGCAACCCGGTGCCTACATTGCTTGGGGATATCCTACCCTCTTTTCACACTCGAACAATGAGGAAAAGAGGTGTTCTCATGTGTTGCACTCCTCTACTGGCAAGATGGTTTATTTCTCATCTTCCCCAATCAGTCTTGAAGAATGAGCAAGGCTTGAGGTGGTCACAACGATTGATGACTGTTACACATTCAGATGTTCATTGGTGTTCTCGATCCCGAGAAAATGTTATCATCATCGACCATTGTGGGGAATTCCCTAATGTCCCTCTACTTGGCATTAGGGGAGACATCACCTACTACCCTTACTTGGCTCTGAGACAGTTTGGTTATGCCCGAAGGGATGGCCAACATGACATGCTAATTCCAGACTTGGTTTTTGACTTCGACAACGATGATCAAGGACTTCGACAAAGGTTTATCCGAGCTTGGAGGATGCCCAACAAGGTAGACAGTAAGACATTGGGACACAAGAATTCCATCCCCCTTAAGCCCTACCTCAAGTGGGTACGAACCCGCGCCCAAAGTCTTATGATGCCCTACCCCTCTATTCTCCCTGTGATTATAGAGCTTGTTATGGAAGGAGAGGTTCCATACACCCTCCTACATCCTGACATGCCAATATCACTCGAAGATTTACAAAGGAGTTGGATACAGCTCAAGGGAGAGCGCGATACTTTTGAAGCCCAATTCTATGCAAGCGAGAAGAAGGTTTTAGAACTCAGTCGTCAACTTCATGAAGAGCAGACTCTCCACACCTACATTGCACCAAAGAGAATGCGCAACGTCTTTTTACCTTAGAATTTTGTATTATTTTGCCCATGGGGAATTAATGTACTAACAATTCTATCTTATTAATATAACGTATGTTTCTTTTTTTTAAAAACAAATTTGAATTTATGAATCCTTGAAAGCATTACATGAATATATATCATTAATCATATGCATAAACAGGTCTTCACACCAAGTTTCCTCATCTCTCTACTGTTTATTTCAGCAAGATGGATATTGAACAAATGGTCAAAGATTTGCAAGCTCAGAATCCACAATTCCAACAGCTACTCTTGACCTTGGCCAAGGGGCAGGAGGAGCTCAAGACTTTGCTAGAGAAGGAAAAAGAGAAAAAGAAAAAGAAGCAAGCTGGAGTGGTTCTTATGGGTAGAAGATTTGAAGGATAAGCCAGATGGACTTTGGAATTCCCATCAACATCTGAAGAGGGGGAAGGAAATGATAAAGGAGCTATAGTGCCATCTGAATCTGAAGCTGAAGAAGAGGAAGATGAGGACTACTCAGAACAACAGTATCCTCCGGTCGATGATAAATACAAGAACTTGGAAGAGCGTCTAGCTGTCATGGAGATATAGAGAGTGCTTGGGCTGGAATTTGAAGAGTTAGGGTTGGTATCTAGAATTGTAATCCCTCCTAAATTCAAAGTGCCATTGTTTGCTAAGTATGATGGGGTATTTTTCCCAAAGATGCACCTATGATCTTATGTCAGGAAAATTCAACCACGTTCTTCTGACAAGGACCTGTGGGTCCACTTTTTCCAGGACAATTTGTCGGGAACACAACTTGATTGGTTCTACCAGTTGGAGAGGTCAGATGTCCATAATTTGGAGGATTTGGAAGTTGCATTCTATAAACAGTATCAATACAACGCCGACTTGGCGCCAACCCGTACTCAGCTATAGAGTATGGCTATGGCTACCAACGAGGGATTCAAAGACTATGCCCAGAAATGGAGGGATTTAGCCGGAAGGGTGCAGCCACCTTTGTCTGAAAGAGAGCTAGTTGATATGTTCTTGGGGACGCTGTCAGGTCCTTTCTTAAATCACCTGATAGGAAGCTCTTCTGCAGGTTTCACTGAGTTGATTCTAACTGGCGAAAGGGTTGAAGCTAGTATTAGAAGCGGCAAAATTCAGAAAGATGCATCTACTTCCGCTGCCATCAAAAATACTTTTTCGGCAAAGAAGGAAGTATCAGATGTCTACTCCCAAAGAGGTCAAGGAAGAGTTGAGCGTCGGCCAGCGGTGGGGGCCGTAATGATTCAGAAGTTTGCAGTTGATCAGCCCGGAAACAATCAACCAAGAACCAACCAAACAAGGGTGGAAAGGCCTGTACGGAAATTCACCCAGATAAACATGACTCCTGATCAGGTTCTACCCCATATCTTGAAGTTAAACCTTGCAAGTTTGAAAGAGGCTCCGAAGAACCTGAATACTGCTTCTCCGTACTACCATTCGAATGCCAAGTGCGCTTATCATTCTGAGAGCCCAGGGCATGACACCAACAATTGTTGGGCCCTGAAGAATAAGATTCAAGATCTGATAGACGCTAAAGAAGTGGAATTCGACTCCCCTGAAAAGTCGAATGTGATCTCTGCTCCAATGCCAAGGCATAGCCATAATGCCCATGTTGTTGAAGAAGATCTTTTTGTTGCTACTGTTGATGATTTGATAACTCCGCTACCGATAATCAAGTTGAATTTGCAGAAGGATGGGATTTTCCCAGGTTGTGAAGAAGATTGATGCCTTTGTTCATCCTTACCAACCGACTATCCATTGTTGAAGTTAGGCATCCAACGCCTAATGGATAACCAAGAAATCCTTTTTGAAAAGACTCCTGTTACACCGACTCTTGTCAATGATGTTTCAATAATAACCATATCTGCCAATCTTTCCAAGGTCTCCAAAAGAGTTGTTAAGATTACATCTGCTCTGAAGACTGCACCTTTGAAGATAACCATGCCCGGGCCCGTCCCGTACAAGTCCGACAGATCAGTACTGTAGAACTATGGTGGGGAAATATACTACCACGGTATTAAAAAAATTGAATCAAATGAAGAGAATTCTGATGAAGAGACTTCTGACATTGGAAATATTGCTGGAACGAGCAAAATCACCCGCAGTGGAAGAATTTTCTTTCCATAGATTTCCCTTCCAAAGGAAATCTTTGGACCCTCAGCTGCTCCTAAGGTTACCCCTACAGCGGTAAACATATCTGCGAGAACTCCAATTATTGAAGAAGTTGTAACTCCTGTGGTTTTCCCCTCTGCTGCTGATGATGATAGAGGGAAAGGGATCCAAGAAGAGCTCGTCAGGACGAGGGCTCAGCCATTGGTCATCCCTGAAACCTCTCAAAAATAAATGGAAGAGATTTTGAAAATAATCAAGAAAAGCGATTATGATGTTGTGGAACAACTGGGGCAAACCCCCTCAAAGATCTCTATATTTTCCCTGCTGCTTTGTTTAGAGGCTCGTGCTAAAGCTTTGATAAGATTCTTGAAGATAGCCTACGTGCCACAGGAAACCTCCACGGATCAATTCCAGGAATGTGTAGCTAGCTTAACAGCTAACAATGGTCTAGGATTCTCTTATGCTGATTTAACATCCAAAGGGAGAAAACATAATGATGCTTTGCATGTCTCAGTGGAATATAGAGGGACTACTCTAGCACACGTACTGGTATACACTGGTTCATCGTTGAACATCTTGCCAAAGAAAGCCTTGGATAGACTGGTTTGTGAAGGTTTAACCTTGAAGCCCAGCAATATAATTGTCAGAGCCTTTGATGGTTCTAAAAGGATGGTCCACGGGGAGGTGGACATCCCGATTAAAGTGGGAACTGAAACCTTCAACTCCACATTCTATGTGATGGACATCCATCCTTCCTATTCTTGCTTGTTGGGAAGACCCTGGATTCACAATGCTGGAGTTGTCACTTCTACTCTGCATTAAATGCTCAAGTACCCAGTCCAGGGGAAAATCATAACTGTTCATGGCGAAGAGGAATACATGATAAGCCATTTAAATTCTTTCCTCTATGTAGAATTGGATGGCGAATTCATCGAAACCCCTTTTCAGCATTTTGAAGAGGTAGCGCAGGAAATTGCGGCAACCAAGACAGTGTCTTCTGTACCCATGATTACCATACCTCCGCCTCGAATGTCTTCTCTCAAAGATGCAAAGGCTGTGATTAAATAAGGAGGAAGCACAATCTGGGGACAGCTTCCAGACATTCCTTACAAATCAGATAAATTCGGCTTGGGGTTCACTTCTTCTGCTCAAAAGGTTGTACGTCGCGCCCGTGCTGGAGGGCCACCAGTGAAGATCACCCATCATGGAGTCAATTCTTTGGAGGATAGTGAAGAGGAGAGCATCCTGGAAGACTGGATTTTTCCAACTGTTGACGGAGGACTATGCAACTGGGAAGCAAAAGACTGTGTAAATGATGCGAAACAATTTGTTTACGGAGGCTATGGTGGAGGCTATGGCAGAGGCTATGGTGGTTACCATGGAGGATACGGTGGTTACCACGGAGAACACAGTGGATACGGTGGCTACCATGGCGGTAGTGGTGGTTATAATGATGGCTATGGTGGATACCATGGCGGCGGTGGTTACACTGGTGGCAATGGTGGTTACCGTGGTGGTGGTTACGGAAATGGAGGTGGCGGTGGTGGCGTCGATGGTGGAGGAGGATATGGTGGTCGTGGAAGAAGCGGTGGTGGTGGTGGAGGAGGCGGTGGGGCGGTGGTTACGTTAGTGGAGAGGATTCCAACAATGGTAACTGATTATATTTACCATGCATGCATGTTTTAAGTGTAATAAATTTCAAAGACAATAATGTTGGGGGATGAACAAACGTGATTGTTTTACGGTTATGTATTATTAATCTTCCCAATAGATATTTCACATCTCTATAAATTCTTTGTAAAATACAGTATCACTATGTATATGTGGTAATGAGTGTTATTTCGGCTAACAAAGTTGGAATGTGTGATTATGTGTATAATATATCAAGTATCATCCTTGTCAAAGAAATTTACCCATTAAAAAATTATTTGCAAAACAGTCTTTTCATATATATATTTTTCATGATATTATATTTTTTATATTTGTATAAGAATTGTAACTTGTATTGTCAACACTAAAACACTTACATGTTTAATGCTCTTAAGAATTAGGGCTTGTTTGTTTTAATCATAAAAGAATATATTATTGTTTTTATATTTTTACAAATAATTTTTATAAAAATTAATTAATAAAATATTATAATTTCTTTTTTAAATTCAAAACTTGTATTAAAGCACAAGGAGTGTAACCCAATACAAAGGGAGCCACAAAACAAAGAACAAACTAACTGCTACAACCCAAGATACAAAGATGGATTGGCAAACCATAACTCCCTAATAAAATCACCACCACCCTTTACTAAAATGGATAACCAATCTCAACCAATAGATTTTACAAAAAAGACTACCTCTACTAAGACAATGTTGTTATGTCAAGTGTAGCTAGATTGTTGGCTTCCTTGATTGCTGTAACTTTAGGTTGTCATTGCCTATTAAGACATCTCAAAATTTTGTTAGTAGCAACAATATTGGGAGTAACATGACCAAGAGTGTGTGAGCGATTGATTATATGAGAAAATCTCTTTTACATATCTGCAATGGCTTCACCATGCTTCATGTGAAAGGGATCCCACTCTTTAGTCAATGTATTTATTCTAGAAAGTTTAACATCATTTGTCCCCTCATGGGCAATTTATAGAGCATCACACATTGTCTTAGCAGTAGCACAATGTGAAACCCTAAATACTCATCAACACCTAAAGAAGCAATAAGCATATTTCTACCTTTTCAATCATAACTATACTTTTTCTCGTCTTCCTCATCCCATAGTGCTTCTGATTTGAGTATGGTGACGTTATCCTCATTGGTCATGGTTATTTGTATAGGACCATCCTCGATAACTTTCCATATCTTTCTATTAACAAAATTAATATGCACACGAATACAATCTTTCCAATAGCTATAATTTTCACCGGTGAAAACAGGAGCTCTCGTATAAGCCCATTTTGGATCGTTCTCTATATTCTACAAAGTAATATGAGAAGCACCAGATAAATCGAAGCTCTGATACCACTTGTTAGACGATGTGATCGATCTAGAAGGGGGGTTGAATTGATCATTTAAAATAATTTATGCTTTTTAAATTTTTTTTCCAAAAATATATGCGAAAGCTCCCGGAATATACAATCGTCTAAACGTTCCTGTATTGAAAAGATCGGATATGCATAACCGTATGGGATAAGGTGACAAAGTAAGAATCAATACTTTTTACTCAATTGGTCAATCACTTATACACCCTCAATGAGTATGAATTACTTCCAATAAGTTGATTAAGATAAAGCTAAACACAATGAATAATTTGTGGATGAGTAAATTTGTCAAATACCTTATGTGCAAAATACCTTAGGTTTGATTTTACTATATTGTACTGGTGAGTTTTCTTAGGTATCAATCAAATGGATAGTTACCAATGTTGTGAAATGATCTCAACACACCATAATTTCAGTACAAGCAAATTTAACAAGTTAATTTCCACAAATTATAGTAATCAAGTAAGGAAATAAAGAAAAAGAAGAAGAACACATAATTTGTTAAGGCAGTTCCCCTTGTCGTCCTCGTGTAGGGTACATCTTCCTCCAATTCTATAATCTAGAATTGAGATATTTGATATTCATTTGCAAATGTTATAAGAGAAGAGATAGTTCACAATACAAACAAACCAATGTTGCTGATGTAACAGTCTTCTTCCCTTTTCTTGGTTTGAGCCAAACCAAGTTCCAAATTCTTGGAACAAACCTCCGGTTACCGCAAATTGATTAAGCAAACCCACCATTTCTTAATCCTTTCACTTGGCTGATTTAAATCACAGGCAATTTGACCCCAAATCTATCTTCACAATCCTCCAGTTACCACTACTTGATTAAAAAAAACCCACTGTTTCTTAATCCTTTCACTCGGTTGGATTCAATGAAACGAAGACTTGTGCAAAAACCCCCGCACCAATTGGAATCTTGGAGGAGAAAATCCAAACGATTTTATTCAAGAACAGCCCACAATTTCTCAACCAAAATCTGAATTGAATCCTTGATATGAATGTTATCACCATAACACTTTTCTTGAATCAACAACCATGATTATGTGTAGATGTTGATTTTTAAGAAGAGAGAATGAAGATGATGAGCACTATGTGTATATTTCACTAGTTATTGTTGAATTGAAATGATGATAGTCAATATATATATATATATATATATATATATATATATATATATATATATATATATATATATATATATATATATATATATATATATATATATATATATATATATATATATATATATATATGTTACCTAATAGTCAAGACCCAAAAGCATAGCAGAAAAATAGTTGAAAGCACCGAGCAGTCGACTCAAGCAGTAATGGGGGTCGACGCGACACAACCCGCAGATGGAGGAAAGCCATTTTGAAGTGTAGTGCGTCGACTACTACAGGGCTTGCATCGGTGCAATATTTGAATATTTTGATTCCCATATTGAGTCGGTCGGAAGGGTCGACATGACACATCATGTAGGTGGAGGAAAACCACTTTGAAGTATAGTGCGTCGACCGCTACAGGGCTTGCATCGATGCAATAGTTGAATATTTTGATTCCCAGGTTGAGTCAACCGGAAGGGCCGATGCGACACATTCTGAGCTTGGTTGAGAATGATGAGTCTACCATACATATCTTTGAGTCGACACAAAAATTAAATTTCCCAAAAATGAATGTTTCAAGAGATCTTCTTTCCAACCATTTCACAGCAAGATTGTTCATAGGACCAACCCAAATGGAGAGTGAGTAATAATCGTTTTGATATCATTAAAACACATATAGAGGGGTCTTACCCTCACACTCTAAGCTAATCCTAAAAAAATTAGAGGTTGATGAAGTTAGGAGCAAAAACTTCCTCAAAACCATAACAAAAAATGAACTGAAAATGAAGTTATATAATAAATCTCAGCAGATCATGCTTAGTGGGCTCACTATGCTAAGCGGGTTGCGCGATATTTACATATTAAACCGACCTAAACTGCACTAAGCACGCTATCCGACACACATCAATTATTATCACAATATTATTCGAACTCTTTTTGTTTTTTTTTCCAAAACTTTTCTCTTTTTTCTTTCTTTTTCGTTTTTTTCTTTCTTTTTCTTTCGTTTTCTTTTTATTTCTCGACCTCATAGCAATACACACAAGAGCAAGCAAACAATTCTCTCCCAAACTTGAATTCAACCATATCATAATGTGAATATTACCTATTCTCTAAGGTAAGGTAAAAATTCAAACCACAAATCATAGTTAAGGGTTCAAGAAAAAAAGAATCAATATCTATACAAAAAGATGAGCCAAACACTCATAGACAAGTATTTAGCAAAAACAACATAGATATCGACAAAAAGAGTCAAAAGAGGATACTAATGATCATAGACTCAGAAGGTGAATTGACTACTTGGAGAAGGTAGTTATGGGAAGTGACTATTAAAGAAGAGGAAACGTATATAGGTTTCAAAAAATCGCCTTAGTAATAATTATACCTAAGAAAACTAGGTGACTATTGGGAAACTATGGCGTGAGTGACACGTACGCCGAGGTATGGGATTGACCATCATCCAATTATAGAAGCCGGACCCGGAGGAAAAGATCAATATTTAAGTTGACCGAACATAAGGCCTCAGATAAAAGTCATATGTTCGTGGGGCTTATGTTCATACATATATCAATTGTCTGGGCTAGGAGAGAGGAAAAACATGGATAGAAGGCTAAGGAGGACAAATAAATTCTCCAAGAATAATGGCAACCATGGACGTTTCTTACCTTAATGGCAACTCAATTATGTATGATGGAGAGTCACAACAGTTACATGCAGTGATCAATGAGGTCCATATACCTCTATATATAGGCTCCCAATTGAGTGGTAAGCAAGACACATCTCTTGGAGCTGACACATACTTGTGCGACCCTCCAAATTCCTTAATATCATAAAGAATTCACTCCCACTTGTTAAGGCTCTCCTTGATATCCTTCAACTAGCATAAAAGTCACCCATTTATTGTTTAGCAAGAACAATCACCATGAGAATAACTTAACACACTTTGCATAACTTTCTATGTAGTATTCTCATAGAAGATCAATCTAGTATAAATATTACTCCTAATATGCATACATATGTTAAGACTTGATAACTCTTTATCCATGATCTATAAGATATGATCATCAGTGTATCCACATAATAGTCTCAATGCTTTAATGCTATCCCACTTTACAATAAAGCTCGACTACAATTACTTTAAGAATAATGTCCTATGTTTATTGAGATCTCAAGATTAAGTCACACTTACCATTTAATTAAACAAACTACCTATTCTAGGGACTTTATTAGTTTTGAAAAAACAAACATAATAAAGAAATGCATTTTATTATTAATAAATAATTTGATACAAGTAGCAAAACTATTGGCCTTTAGGGCTTACACCAACACCTACGAGGGTGAGTGATACTTAGAGGCCTTAGTAGGCTTATAATAATTTAAGGGTATTAGAGCTTTCTTGCAGCGGATAGAGGCCCTGTATGGTGGTGTTTATGATGTTTTAGAGGACATCTTCTCATGAGATGAGAGATTCTATGTATAAGCTTTGGGCTTGGGGTATAATGCGTAGGATATGATCTATGTGAGTTAAAATTTATCCTCTCTCCTGATATGGGA